CTTATTTCAATTCATTTTAAATTAACATACTAACTATTCTAACTCACATTAAGACTTATAAACATATTACATGTTTTCACTAATTTTTACATACTGTAAGTAATTACAGTACGACATCGTCATCTGCCTCAATCAATTGACTCTTATTGTCCGATGTAAATTCTGATTCTAGCAATTTAGATTCTCCATAATATTGTATCGAGTACATCTGTAGAACAATCTGACCCTGGCCTTTTCCAATTGTCAATGTACCTCGGCCCCAATCGTTTTTAGCTTTGGTTTGATAAATCCAAGGTCTGCCCAATAAAATAGGATATGATAACATAGAACTCTATAATTGAAATAGAATATAATCGATTTTGTATGTCAATCCCGCGATTACAGTGGCAATATTACATAAGATTCTCATTGGCTTTACCCGACTATGATTTGCCATTCGTAAGACCAATGTCGTAGGTAGCAATTGCTTTAGATCTTAATCCTTTATTGTATCCGCGTTCATTAAATTTACACTGGAGCCACCATCAACTTATACCCCTGGAATTAAAATGCCATCGATTGATACATCGATTGTTGGTGCTCCCAGATCTGGGTTTAAGCTAACTTCATGAATTTCTTTAGTACGGGATCTTCATCGTATTAACGTTGAATTCAATGTAGATCAACATTCCGGTGCTATAACCAAAAGTTGCTTCATTGTAATTGAAGGCTGAATAACATCCAAATCCTTCAGAATGTCGTAGGGTTCCATATTGAGAGTAATTTCCAATGCTCTTTTGTGTTTCATTGGTTTCAATTTTACTCCATTTGGTAGTAATTTTTTCCTAGCGGTTGAGATTGTCATTGGTAACTTTGTGAATTTTTCTACCACTAAAGGTTCCTTTAATGCGTAAGATCTTTTATTGGGCTGTACAGGTATTGGTACTTGGTCAATTGGGATCGATCTTGATGGTCCCGTCAAATTAGCACGTGGGACCGAATTGGGTTCCTCAGTCTGTTGAGGTCTCAATATTAGGATATGTCCCAATACTGATATTGTTTCATTTAGTCCCATGGACAGTACTACTTGCTCTCCTGTGATTGATTAATTCATGGTCCTAAATTAGATTCTTGTCTTTTTGTTGGCCTTTGATAAGCACTGCATTCACCACCTCAACACAATGTACTAGTGAGTCTCGTTGAACAGGGCCTTTGTCCTCTACCAGTTCGCTTGTTTGTATTTGCTCGTCCTGATTATTATAATTAAAGGGCACATTACACTACTGATAAGTGTGACCAGACTGCTTACAATTTCTACATATTACAGCATAGTCATCATTGGCCCTTGGATTAAGACATTCACTCACATAATGTCTGATTTGTCTGCAACGATAGCAACAAAGTGGTCTCCTGCCAACTCCTTTAGGGATAATGGGTGTCTCTACTGGTATATAATGACTAGGTCTGTTCCATGTCGGATGAATAAAGGATCTTGGTTGACCCATTGTTACTGTAGAGTCTGGCATTAGCTTCGTCATGGGTGGATATTGATGGTATCTTAGTTGGTTCATCACCAATCTGTGAGTATTGGATACACTTTCTTGGTAAAATTCAGAGTTGAAAAAATTAGAATAATTCTTGTTTTGTTTATTCGCTCCATTTCCATTCCAACCAAAACTATTATTCGTTTGTACTTGATTGACATCCCACGAAGTTGGTTAAGTCATTATCTGGTTATTGAGTTGTTCTTGCTTTCATAAATTCTAACAGTTGGTGGTAATATGCTTGCCTCCACAAAAGGTACATTATACAGTCATTTGGGGTGATGAAGGACATTCTGTTACTAAATGACTTTGCCCCTTACAATTGCTGCACCAGACATTGGGACGCATATTGGTTGATTTATGCCTTTTTTCTTTATCCTTGGTCAAATTCACAGCCAATTCATCCATTTTTTTTTGTCAATGTTAACAGCAATGACTCATTGGGATCCCTTGATACCAATGCATTTGGTAATTTCTTTGTAGGTATTGGTTTCTGATATGCAGAATAAGACGCATATGGATGTGATGATGATGGTGGTATAGCTTGCAATGGAATGACATCCACTATTCCCTGTGGAATTGTACCATAATCATTCCTTCTCAGATAACTTCCTGATGTGCCATTCCAATTTGTCATTTCATAACCTCCTTGAGATGGAATCATCGTGGCTCCAACTGTTAAGTTTTGGTCATAGTGACATTCCTCTCATACTTTTGCTCGCTCAAGAGATGATGCAATGGTGGCTGATTGGGCCTCCTTTACAAACATCTTCAATTCTGGTGGGTGTAGTCCATTAACCAATATGGACAACACAAATGATTCCGACATTTGATTATTTGGCCATTTTCAAAGTATATCCGCTACACGACCATAATATGACTGTAAGACTTCTCCTAGTACCATTTTGCTGTTTATTAATTTTTCTCTAAGACGTTCTTCAAAACCAATTAATCAAAAATGGGCTAAAAATATATTTTTCAATGCCTCCCAATTGATAAATTGTCCCACATGTTGGCAGTTATACCACTCAAACGTTATGTCTTTCAATGTTGCTGGTAGCCATCTCAATCAAATGTCTTCTGTTCTTCCATTATTGGCTACATACGCCATCAAGAATTGAGACAAATGTTGATCTGGATCCGCACCTGCCAAACCCCGAAAAGTAGGTAATGGTGCAATCCTAGTCGTTCGATCGCCCACTGCACCCATTTGAACTGCAATCAAAATTGCTGGTCCTCCGGATATCATTGAAGATGTCGGTGTTCCGCTCAATTCCTTATTAAAATAAAAATTTTCTCCCATAAAAGTCTTTTTTGGACTTCCAAGCCTTCCCGATTGACTATTATTATCTCCAAATAATTTTATTGGTTGAATATGAGGTGAAAACAACAGGTTTTGATATACTCTGAATTGATCTTTATTGGCAAGTGATTTATGTCGATCTTTAGAACTAGTCTTGTTAGGATCGGACATATTTCTAATTGAGAAAATACCCAGTGGGGTACCTAAACCCTCTATGCCTTCCTCGTTTTCTGTTAACGGCTTCGAGAGGTATGCTAGATTATTAGCAACGCTCTCCGCGAGTGCTCTTGGCAATTTCTTTAACAATATGTACTTCTAAAATATTAGAGGTCGATCGTCTTTTGGGTACGATCGAATATGCCGACAGGCATGCAACCACGGCTTAATCCAACTTTGTCGATGCTTCTTTTTCAATTTGTGATCTCGCTCATTATGCAACAAATTTCTTGCTTGCAATTGCTCTGTTCTTTTCTTTAATTGCTTTATTCTCTTTGCTGTTAAATTCTCATTCTTAATGACCATACTCTTTCATTATTTCTATTGAGTTTGCTTCCTAATCTCCTTTATTGCTTCGATAGTTAATTCCAACACTCAATAATATTGTCAATCCCCGACAGCGGCGCCAAAATGTGGTTGTCGTTTTACTTATTTCGGAAGAAACCTCCCAGAATAAATCCATATAGGGGGATTTGAACACAATGAAAGACCATGTATATGAACTCCAATTGTTAGGGTCATGCAATTAACCGCTACTGTTGAATGCTTACCATACCGAAGAACACTTAACTTTTCCTCCTACTGTCTACTCTCTTATATCAATACAATAACATCCACGACAATGATTTCAGTATCCTGTGTAACTCACAAATACACAAGCATATCTCAAACCCTTGAAAGAATAACTTCCAATCCACAAAATCTAATCAAGACAATTCCTTTGATTACAATTCGTCTCCACTAAACTTACAACCTTGCCATAAACAATGACTGGAAACTTCCATATATCCTCAATCTTTTACAACAATTGATAAATAGTGATCCATAAACAACTTCATAAATCAAACACTAATTCATTAAATCGATTCTCTTCACTAGAATCAACACTAACACAAAAGAAACAAGAAAACTAAGAAGAAGAGATAGCACCAAGCTTATCTTTGGCTCAGTACTATCGCAGTCTGGCATTTTCTTCCCCTCTCCAATCGTCCTTATACTACCCCGAGATACCAACTCCTATACTATAGATGATAACTACTTTTCTTGACTATTCATCCATTCTACCTGCTGAACCACCTTTTCAGCAGTTATCTATCCCTGTTTACACTGTACACTAGGTATCTACATTCTGAAAATAACTACTTATTCTACACTCATTATAATTTATAGAATTATTTTTCTTTTATAATAAAATCTAGTCCGTTTTTACGGATAAATTTTAATTATTGTGGTACAAAAAAAAGTACCAATAATTTTTTTTCTACTCATCAAAATCACATTTTTTATTTTATGTTTTTTTGTTTTATTCCATTAAAAAAAAATCTTATATAAATTTCTCATGTAGTAGTAAATGTGATCTTGGTTTATTTTATACAAGATCAGAAGAATTGGTATGTTCTATATATATATATATATATATATGTATACATATTCTATTTACATAATTAAAAAATAAAAATAAAATGCTAAAATATACTTGTGGTAACATATTTTTATTCATTTCAAGATTCGAATTCATCAAAAAAAATTCAGAAATGATTTTTAGATAATTCCATCCCATATGATTATTTTCATACAAAGAAAGACAGACTATGAGAGGGTGCACCCGCATATATATATATATATATATATATTTATACATATATATATAGATGTACATCTATGCATACGTGCAATATTAATTTTTTATATTGTTTGAAATATTTACATGTTCATCTGTAGACCCATCTTCACAGTCTTCGAAAAACAGGCATTGACTTCCAAATACAAGAGCTAGAAGGACTTGAGTGCATGGTAGGCAACCTACTCAGCACAACCCCGAAAGGATGAAACCTGGCATAGAGTACCCCATAGACAGAGTGTGGGATGGATGGATGGATGAATGCATGGGTGGATGGATGAATGAATGAAGAGCCGAGCCCATTCCTCGGACATCCATCTGCGGGGGCTGCGCAGAATCCCCTCAACTGTTGCGTTATTCCTCTGACAATGAAGCATCTGGCATGAAGCAGCCCCACGATCCTGCACACTGGCCGTGTGCCGCAATATTTCCGTGACGCCACTCCTCCGGTTTCCGCGCTGCCGCTGCACGCTCCGACCACCTCCGACCCTCATCGAAATCGGTGCAGAATCGTGACGGAATTCAGGGGTTTTCTGATGTGCAATTGGCGAAATGAGGTACGCCTGATGTTGGGGTTTACGCAATTTTCTTTTCTTGTGGGTGGAGCTGCGTTTATGTAGATGAATAGCTCCCACGATAGGAACCATGAGGTTTCAGGATTGGGTGCGAGGACGTGAGAGTCTCCAGGGAGTTTTGAGATTTGAAGGATTCCTGAGCAGTAGAGATTTGAAGAGATGTTTGCATTAGGGCTGAAAGGGGAGGGGTGGATAGGAATTGGATTTCTGCACCTCATGCGAGATTTGTTCTTCGTTCCTCCTGAGAATTTTCCAAGCGTTTCCCATGGAGCGGCCAATTTGACCCTTGTAGTTGAGGCTGGTGATCTTTGAGAAATAGGGTATAGTCCTAAACTACAGGCGGCACAGGTTGGGCTCAATCTGAGGAATCATGGCAGCTCCTCTTCAGTATAATCAATGGGCTCCGCTGCTGCCGCAGCCCAACGTAGCTCACGATGAGGTTCTTGTCAATTCCCTACTCCTCTGATTCACAATTTCTTGGTGCGCTAATCAGAAAACTTTAGTGCACAGCAGTGTAGTCATCGAGTTTCCAATCGAAAAATCAAATTCATTGTTGTCATCACTCGGGTTGATGAAAAATGACACCAATGATCGGAATATCTTGCAATGACTTGTAATTCCCGATATGACAATGTTTCTTACATTAAATAGGCCTTAATCAGTGCATCTCTAGTTCAAACAATCTCTTGTTTTAAAGGTTCGACCACAGGTATTGAATGTGCGAAATTGGAATATTCTGGCAATGTTTGGGAAGTTTGGGGTGTATTATGCATGTGATAAAGTTTAGATATCTGGCTACATATTTAGAACTTTAAAAGCTAGTTTTGCGATGGTTTTATTGATAAAACTGATGGTGGTTGGTTGGAACAGGTGAGAACTATATTCGTCTTGGGATTCCCTTCTGATGTTAAGGAGCGGGAGCTACAAAACCTTTTGCGGTGGTGGCCAGGGTATGAAGCGTCGCAAATGAATTTTAAATGTGACCAACCTATGGGTTTTGCGCTTTTTTCTACAGTTGCTATGGCCATGGCTGCACGCGATGCCCTTCAGGTGCCTATTAAATCTTTCACAATCTCTATTATAGATCTATTATAGAGTTGAGTTATCATAGTCTTAATCAATTTCTTACCTAGTAAGGGTTCTGATTGATGTGTTTGCCATCAATTTATTAATGATATAGGGTTTGGAGATTTGTATAGCCTCTAAAGTATCTTTGCTAACCAAATATTCTCCTATATATATATATATATATATATATATATATATCATGTTAAAGACTTTGCATCTACTATTTAAAGATTCACTTAATTTTTTGTTTTTGGAAATAGAACTTGGTTTTTGATGCGGATACAAATTCTGTTTTACGAGCTGAAATGGCTAAGAAGAATTTGTTTGTGAAGAGAGGTAATTTTTAAAATTATAAAATTTGTACGTTGTTAAATTTTGATTGTACCATAGAATATCTAGTTTAAAAACTTAATTTTGACATATTACTAATGTTTGATATTATTGATAAACTTATTTTTATTTTTATATTTCATTCCATCAATTTTATGATTGTAACATATTTTAATAGATATTTAATGTTTTTTTTATGAATGTTTAGGAGTTGCAGGAGATCCTTGCATAAGCTTTGATGGAAGTAAGCGCATGCGCACTGGGGGTGGTGATTATTCTCCAGCACCCTATTCTGCACCATATCCTTCTACATATCTTACTCAACCAATGACTAGTCCAACACCTGCATGGGCCCCTCAAACGTAACTAATTTGTTGTTTATCATCTAAATTTAGGTCAATATTTTTGTGCATAAAAAATGTCTAAAAGTGTAAGTAATTTAGAATTATTCAAGTATTATTTTTTTAGAATTTTAAAAAAACTTGTTTGGTATTGGTTTGTAGTTATGGATTGCCACAACCACAATATGATCAATATGGTGCCTATGTAGCACCACAACCTTTGCCAATAACACCATCAGGCTATGCTCCAGTACAGGTAATTTTATTGTACTACAAAGTTATTTTTTAATTATTCTTTAGAATAATTTTGAGTGGTGATAATTTTTAATTATGATTTTAGTCGAGTGTTTATATGTGTGAGCTATAAACTTTTAGGAGTTTATTATACAATAGAGGTTTATGTTTAAAACTATCAATGTCATATCTAACTGTTTAAAAATAAGTAGGACTTATTCATATGTATATTATTATATTGGATGATTTTGCAGAACACAAAAGACAATCCACCCTGCAACACATTGTTTATAGGGAATTTAGGAGAGGCTGTCAATGAAATTGAGTTGCGAGCACTATTTAGTGGGTAGGTTTGTCTTAATATTATTTGAATATAATAAATAGAAGAATGATTTTTAGATGCATTAGATTAAAAGACATTCTCTTTCTTTATATATATATATATATATATATATATATATTATGTTTTTGATGTTAAATAAACAATAATTGAATATAATATTTTCATTAAAATTGAACTATTACAAATATAGTTTTTGTATTAAAATCATAAGTTTTAAATTTTGATATGTAATTGCATTTAATTTAATTGTTCTTCTTTTCAGGCAATTGGGTTTTAGACAAATGAAAGTTTTACGACAAGGCAAAAATATTGTTTGCTTCATTGAATTTTTGGTAAAACTTCTACATCTTATTTTTAAAGTAAAACATTTAAGAATTGTAAATATTTATGTAACACCTTGTATAAAACAAGATAAGCATATTGTCATATTACATTAGTGGTAGTGCATGTTGGAATTTAATTATCTTAATATACTTTGTTGAAAGGATTTATACAGTGATATTAAAATTTTAAGAAATTTTCAGTTTTAGAAAGTAAATTAGGAATTTTATTAATTATAGAATTTGGTAGTTTGTAATAGCATGCATATTAAAAGAACCAACTAGTCTTTTAATTAGATGAATATATTTTAATAATTATATAGTAGAAACATAATTTTTTATAATGTATTTGATTATTTTTAATATGATATTAATAATATAAATTTATGAGTTAAATTTTTTTGGTGTGTGTGTATTGAACAGGATGTAAATAGTGCAATGTTAGTACATACAAACTTGCAAGGTGCTGTTCTTTCAACCTCAGATAGAGGTGGCATGAGAATACAATATCCTCACAATGTATATGTATATATATACTTAATTTCTTCTAAGTTGTAATTATTTAGATGTTTGTCTAATTTTCTTTTAATTTAAAATATTATATCTAAATTATATATATTGTAGGGAATTTTGAACACCTATTTAATTGATCAAAAGTAGCATAATAAGATATAATACATTAATGTTATTAACATTTGTTAGTAACAAATGCTTTTTTTATTTGTATATTTTTGAATATGTTGACATATTCTATACTTTACTTGATTCAAATCTAAAAATATAATTGTATTCTTTGACCCTACTTAAATTCTCGAAGAATCCATATGGAAGAAAAAGAGAAGGTGGAGGTAATACACACTATGACTTAGGTGTAACAACTCCAAGTGTAGAAGTGAATGGAAGTGTAGAATATATGGTGCCTTCTGTATAATTTATTGTTCCTCACGAGCAAGCAATAGTCTAACTAAAGATGTGGCAATTGATATACTTTTATTTGATTGTTCTTCCAAGATTGTGATATACTTTTATTTCTAAAATTTTAATCATGGTTTTTTAATTGCAACTTCTTTAATATCAACATATTAAATTTATTCACTTCTTTAATTATTTCTACTATGTATTATTCTTGTATTTTTTTTCTTTTCATGATGTAATTTGTAAATTATTCTTTAATTTTACAAGTTAGATAAAGTGTAATTTATAATGGATGTCTAATATAACATAATATTTTAAAATATATATTTTAATGTTAATAGAAGTATAAAATAATATTTGCAAGCTCCAAAAAGCTTTACAATAGAACCATAAATAATTTATAACCAAACAATATTATTTCAAAATAAATTATTAATTAATAGAGTTTATACATATAAAAAGAACTCTGACATTTTTTTATATTAATAAAAATTAGAAAGAACTAATATGAGTTTCTTATTATATTTTGCCTATTTTTTTTTTATTACTGTGATTGATTTTTTTTTGTCTTATAACATAAATAATTTCATCACTAAGTAAAGTCATCCTAAAAAATGAAAATGAAAATTTCTTTTCTTTGATGCATCAATCAAGATGAGCAATAATTTTCATGCTTTGGAGTGAGTATCCAAAAACAATTATCCTTTGAATTAACTTCCATCAGCTTCTGGAGGACATGAAAATTTATAACACAACTTTGTCCTATACTGGTTCTTATCAATCTCTTAAAAAGTACAAGCAAACCTTTCCAAGTAGCTTAAATGTGAAATGTAAGCCAATCATTGAGTAGAAGTTGAAAATTATTCTGGACACAAGTCCAAAGTTAGCATACTTGTTAAGCCAGTCTTTGACAGATCATAGCTCACATTTCACTCTGCGTTGCAATAAAAAATTTGCGTTCTCAACTACGAAAGAATGTATCTTACCTAACATACTGAACCTGATTTCATGCAGCCATTCACGATGCTTTCTCAGTTATGAGACTTGAAACTTTTCCTGAATTGTTTAATATTTGTCGAGCATTTCTTGATAATTGAAAGCCTCGAATGAGGAGCAGCTAACGTCGATTGATGAAACCCTCTGAGAGCTCAAATACATCCTTGTTGGGTGCTTTGTCAAGAATGGTGGTTTCTCCCACATGCAATTCCTTTAACAAAAAACACAGTGTGGTCCTCTTTCGTGCCTCACCTGATGCTGTGATTGTAACACTTACATAAACTGAAAAATGACTCGAATATTGCATCAACGTGTGGCAGGAATACCTTTGCCATCGCACTTCATCGTAAACCCATGGAGTGTTTATCTCTGAAGAGTCAGAGATAAACACTCTATATATATATATATATATCTATGAGACCAACGCCTTTCACCCACTCCAACTGAAAAGGTTTGTCGACACGCACATGGTTCCAGTATTTCTTTCATTTTCTTTTTTGATTATGAAAGCCTTACTCCAACGTCACCGCCATGAAACTGGGTCTTCAGGTTGAAGCCGATTGCAATAAACCAGTCTTTGTGCTAACAAGTCTTCACCAGCAAAAAATGTCTGCGTGTAAGAAAACACTTAGCGTCAAACTTAATATGCTTAAGTTTCATACTACAACTCGAGAACATTGGGGTTCAGTGCACATCACGGAGGGAATCGGTACGGCAAAAGCAAATCCAAGATGCTTGGAGAACACATGATATGCATCTATGCCGAGGTGCAGCTCATTCAACGCATTAGAAACACCGAACAAGCTCATTAAAGCGATGATGGTCGTTCTTAAATCTTTGAGAGGTTTAGCCATCGAACCTTCCTCCACCATAATCAGGAATCCCGCAATCCACGCCTTCAACAGACACAATTTAAAGCCACCATGTGACGCAAGAGTCTAGAAAAATGTCGAATGGATACCAATTTGTCGGTACCAAAACCTACATATTGGCTTTTAGTGGAAAAGTCTCGGGCACATCACTTCGTCAGAGGTACAGATTTCGGTGTGTGCATAATGCACTAGTCGTGCAAGCTCCATTAGTATTGATGGGGCCGGGTCGAAAAGCTCTCTCATGGCCATCTTCAATTCTCAGGGCAGGGCCATCGCTGCAGCGAGGTCAGAGAGATAATAAGTCATGTAGGGAAGAGAACATTCTTCCAACAACCGGGGTGGACTTCCATAGCGGTTTCAATCCAGCGCGACAAGTGATTTGGTGGAAATTTCCTCCTGCCATCGCTGTGAGTCAATTCGTTCCTTAAATGCGATCTTTCCAGCTTTCTGTCAGCGTGATTGAGTTGGACGGCTCTTAGTTTGTCATTGAAAAGCTCCAGGTGCTTGAGTCTTCCTTGCCGACGATCACCGGAGCATACCACACTAATGTTTATTGATCATTAGATCTCACCTGCATTCTTCGTTAGTCCTGTGCTGTGGTTTAGTCAAAGTAGGGTCCTGACGCAGACCATGGATTCGGGTCAGTAGTCCGGAAACCGCGTACTCTCGGTGATTGTGGATGTCTTCAATGTGGCGACCTACTGTTATCGTTTCTTAGGGAGCTGAAACTGGGGAACTTAATCAGCTGTAGTTGTGGCGTGTTGCAGAAAAGTTGGGGTCTGCTTGCTCTGCACTTATTCTCTTGAGCAGTGCGCCTCGGCAGGGTTGGGGTTTAGTTCTTTGCGTCTTGCAATGGGGAAGGGAAATCTCATGCAGGCCATGTCTGTGCTAATCTTACTCTCTAGCTGCATATTGCTTCTTGCTGCCGTTGCCGCCGCCACACCCCATGGCTCAACGCCGTCAATGCGCCCGTTCCTCGGAGACACAAAAGGTATATTCCCTCCTCACGCACCCCTTGATGGCTCAGCTAGCGCTAAAACTTTGTTGGGTTTTGCTGAGGTCTTTCCTGCATCTGGCTATGGCCGACCATGGTTTGCCATGGTCAGTAGTTGTCGGCTGTGGCGAGCGTAAACCAAACTCTCGCCAATTACCGAAATGGTCTATTTGATTGTGTTGCTTGCAGTGGCAACCTATGATGCACAAGGTGCCTCGAATGCGAGGCTCTCGCGCAGACGGGCGCTCCTCACAACTCGATATGCACCCATCGGAATGCCTCCTCCTCCAGCCATGCGGAGTCCTCCTCCTCCATACTAAATCTGCTTAACTTCTTTAGATCAATTTCCAAGCCTCCCTATTATACAAAACTGTTGTAGGAATCTACATCCTGGATGTAACTTCTAATTGACGATGAAAAACAGTTGTTGATGTCTGACCTTGATCATGTGCATTGCTAATTTGTATTTTAGAAACTTATACGTTGTAACAGATAGAATAGCATACTATGCAGTTGAGCTTGTAATCTACACCGTATTGAGTAAAGGATACTGTTCACGCCTTCGCTGCTGTGCACTTACATTTAACCATTCTCTGATGAGTTTCTCACACATAGAGTACTTGCTACAAGACATCCCGGAACAGATATTGTGAATCTACTACATTAGATGTTGTTACAGAATACTCTCATCCCCAAGGAAGTTTTATGTCCGTTCTTCACGTAGCAGTTATCCATCAATAATTCGTTTTGATGAATCTGCAACAAAACATGATACGGGGAGGATTAAATCCCTTCTATTTTCTTTAATTACTAACTGTATTGTTGTTTATTGAGCTGTCAGAGAGCTGGACATAGATGATGAGGTCCTGGTGTGATCTTCGCAGACTTGTGTTCAATACCACACCCCGAACTAAATGTTGTGACTAAATGATGTATCTAGCTTTGTACCTATTTTCCTTCAGTACAACAAATGCTTTGCAGGAAAGGAAGTGTATTATTACAACAAGGAAAGTGAATTACTGTGTTTGTGTATATATAAAAATACATTCTTTGCTTCTATTACAAGTGGGTCCATTCTGTGATTCTGTCGCATGACAAGTTATTTGCTGATATTTTGATAAGGACATTCTGCACAAAGTCAAGGAAGAAGAACCAATAAATGACTGACATTTTTCTTGTCAAGTACACGTCCGAGGTTTGGTTTTTATGGATCTGTGTATGTTTGTTTTGATGTGATTGGTCATATTGCATTCAATGCAATAAGTACCTTATGTAGCTATATCAATGAATCTTATAGTTATTATGGTACTGAACTATTTCCATTCTTATCTAATTATTCTTACAAAAAAATAACATTAATAAGTTGTAAAATTTCTTAGATGTTTTTTAAAACGAAAAAAGAAAAAAAGAAAAAAACTAACAAAATAAGATGAATAATAAACATACTTCCACCGACTCATTACTTTTATGGTATTAAATGGTTTACTTTATTAAATTTTCAATCAAATTAAAATCAAGCAGCATTTATAAATCAAGAAATTTAATTTAATTTAGTTTAATTTTTAAAAAACTTAATAGTTTATTAATAATATATGTATATTATAATTTTAATATGTATATATATATATATATATATATATATATGTATATATTTAAATAGCTTAAAAAATATTTTATTGTTAAGTTCTAAGTTATGATTAGAAGACATAGCTACTAGATTTATATCTATAATATTGGCTATTTTCTAGACAATAAAACATTACAAATTTTCACAATATAAAACCTTTTTATATAGAAATATCTATTTAGATTTTTTAGAACAGTTTTTAAATTATGATCATGTTAGATTCTAGCTTTTTCATAAAACATTGTAAATTTAAAATGTATATTTGTTATATAATCCAAATAACAAGACTTGTATTTGCTTTATTAAATATAAATAAATAAATAAATAAATAAATAAATAAATAAAATCAAAGATATTAATAAATAAATAAATTTGAAATATATAATAATATTAGTCTAAATATGTTTTTCTTACGGAAAAAAAATATTGAGGACCAAACAATGTAAGAGAATATTGTATAACATTCTTGCAACATTCAAAATCTCTGTAAAACAAATATCAAAAAAGAACTCAAACATTACTTTGGTACTGTAAAAAATCGTTATTTTCAACTTAAAATCAAATATATGGGTGAAGTTTTTAGAAAAAAAAATAAATTTTATGTATAATCCTCTTTAAATTGTTCAATTGACTTTCTTTGGAAATTGAAATTCATAAAAATTTAAG